ATATATATATATATATAGTCACATATTTAATGGTCTAACACTATATTTAAGTAACCCCTTATTTCCTTAGTGACTTAACCTTGAGGAAGGATGCTAATCATTCCAAAAAGATATTCCAGTCCAGAACAAAGACAAACCTTAGGGTCTACAACATTCACATAGACATCTTGGTAAGGTCTCAGCCGGAACACTTGAGTCACAGTCTGGTCCACACTGATAGTTTCTGAAACAGAAAAGAAATCTGGCTCAGGTAACATATTTTGAAAAAGTTAGTATATACATCCTAATCTATAAATATTCAGACTTTCAACAAGCAACACAATTGATCATTTGCCAAGGGCAAGACACGTTCTCTGCCTTCCAGGACCTTAAGCCTAAGCAATTAAAAAAAAAGAGAAAGAGAGAGAGAGGTGGCCAGGTGCAGTGGCTCATGCCTGTAATCTTGGCAGAAAAAAAATAGAAAAATTAGCTGGGCATGTTGGTGCACACCTGTTGTCCCAGCTACTCGGGAGGCTGAGGCAGGAGGATCACTTGAGCCCAGGAGTTTGAGGTTGTAGTGAGCTATGATGATGTCACTGCACTCCGGTCTGAGTGACAGAGTGAGACCCTGTCTCAAAAAAGAAAAAAAAAAAAAGAGAGTGAAAGGGAAGAGGAGAGAGGGGAAAGGGGAAAAGAGAGGAAAAAGAAAGAATTTAAGAAGCAACATAGAAAAGTTCAAAGACCTAAAAAAATCCAGAAGAGGAAAGAGATCCTTTTTTGTTTAGAATGAAGGTATCAGTGGTAATTAAGGAAGAAATAAACTTTTCAACGAGCCCTGCAGTCTGGTAAGTAAAAAACACACAGGTGGCAGGAGATGGGGTGAGGGTACGAAGACCACTCTTAGGATTAAGGTTTTATAGAATGTTTTCCCATCAAATTGAAATATTGAGTGGCTGAACATGAGTGGTTGACATCAAAGCCCTTTAGAGCAACCCAGAAGTTTTTTTGTTTTTTCTCTTACTACTTAAGGAACTATCTGTTTAAAGAATTTATTTTAAGGAAGAAAATAAATGTTAGGAATTATTTTATTCATTGTCAATTAACATTTTGGTTCCTTGAGTAACATGGCTTAACCATTACAGGAAAAAAGAAAGGATTTGGATCTAGAATGAGTAAATAGAATCACCACTCTGGCTCCACCTAGATTATAGTGTGGCTAAGACTAAATTTCCTCACTCATTTGAGTTGTTGGAAGGATAAAGATAGATTATAAAAAGCTCCCAGGACAGTGCCTTGCACACATGGTGTGCAATTATTATTTCTTCCCCTACCACCCAACTCACCCAGAGGAGGCACCTAACAAATATTTTGTGAAAAAAATATACTATTTAGGAAAACATGCTTTACCTACAATTACTACAGTTATGCATAAAGCTTTATATATTCAGATTAACTTTTCTCCTGACCCTAAATAAAGATTTCTTCAAGGCCGGGCGCGGTGGCTCACACCTGTAATCCTAGCTCTCTGGGAGGCCGAGGCGGGCGGATTGTTTGAGCTCAGGAGTTCGAAACCAGCCTGAGAAAGAGTGAGACCCCGTCTCTACTAAAAATAGAAAGAAATTAATTGGACAACTAAAAATATATAGAAAAAATTAGCCGGG